GCTCATGAGATGCAAGCTACCTTCAAAGACAATGAAGGAACTGTGATATATGACATGATTCATGCACAAGTAGTGACCAATGAATATTGTAGAGGGTGTAATGACATAACCAATGGTGTGGAATCTCCAACTCATTGCAAAAAAGTAACACTTGATGTCCCTACCAACCAGCTTATATGCAAGAAGGAAGGAAACTCATTGTAATATTCAACATTACTCATCTACAAGTGATAATCAGTAAAGATTATAGAGAGCATGGCAACCTACTTGCCAACAATAGTGAGCGGCAAGATGATGGCAATGGATGTCATGATGTGTTTATAGAAAACATACAACTAAAGCATGCAAGGCATCGTTCATAAGCCTAAAGGAGCAAATTGCATAAAGCATATGAATTCCAAAGCAGCGATAGAAAATTCAAAGCATACATAATAGTATTATTCTCAACAGATGTTGGAAAATGCTATACTAAATGTGACGGGCCCTCTTTAGACACTGGTACACATTATGTATCATCTACAAGAAGAAATGAGAAATATTTAGTGCATATAAACAACTACAATTTCATTTATAAGAGACCCACCATGCATACGATACATCGCATGCAAGTAATCAAGTGTATTTACAGTATGTTTGAACTCATGCAAACTATATATCGATTGATAATGGATGTAACGGTAACCTTACGACTAACCACCATGAGATGTTCAACAAATATGCATAAAAAATATAGACTTATACAGGTCACTATAGAAGACCAGAGAAATGTGGTGAATTATATATATACAGGTGGTATTAGAAGACTTGCATGCAATGCAGCTCACCCGTGGATAACGATAGAATATTTCTAATTCCTACAACGATCATTCTTATGATCAATATTATGGGGCGTATTACAAGCACGTTGAATTCTCTTACAAACATGAATGAGAAAGATTTGCAGCTAAAGTAATACATTGTTTGCAGGCAAATGCACAAGGGCTTGTGATGAATGCAAGTGTCCATCTGCATAATGCAGCAAATGACCTATAGCATGAAACAATGCCATATCACTAGATCTGTAATGTATATACAACCGAATAAAAGGCATGTACGAGTTTCCAAATAGGATGCTACATTTAAGTGATAGTCGCCCGCATGACCGATCAGTGACATATATTCCAAAAATGCCCCCACACATGTGTTATAATATGTATACACAAAAATGTAAAAAATATATATGTAATCAAATACCCGCATGGCCTTGATAAGCGTGTTGTATTTATGCATGTGACGTCTGAGATGCTGCACGGGTCAATAAATAAACTCAAGTTTGAGCCCGATCCTTCTAAGTGGACAAATAGGAGTCAACACAGCTCAAACTATTAAATGAATATACATTCACGAGGTCGACCTGAATATTTATTTTATAGTTTATGTTATGCATTCAAGGCCCATAACAAGGAAAATTTGCTAATAAAATCATACAACAGACTTAAACCTAGTCCTTTGGCAACTAATATAGTCAGTAGTGTTCAGTCAATAAAATGCATATTGCCCATAAGTACCTCGATGATGGCCGTATTGAACATAGATCTTAAATGGAAGGGTTAATTTCAAATATTCAAAATGCCAACTTCAAATGTCAACTAAAACCATAACTCTAATATTAAATAAGATCCAAATATTTAAAAATTGAAATTCAATCATCAAATGCTTAAAGCAAAACAATCCACCCTCAACAACAGTTTATTAAGGTGGATAAATTTGAAAATTACTTAAGCTCACAAAGAGCTAATATCTTGTCTAGAATATTACTAGGATTCCTTCTCAAACCATCTCTTGCCAGTAAGAGCTTGGCTAACAAGCGATTAATATCTTGTCCTCTAACAAGCGATTTTTCCACCAAATTTCACCACAAGTAAACATTTATGATCTAGGCCCTTTGAATTGGTTGATTCGCTGCCAAATGTCACCACTAAATTAAGTTTATGGCCAAAGCTCTTAAGCCCCCCAATGGTATTAAATCCTTGAGATATGAATTAATAAAATATAGTCGATAGGGAATAAAGCCCTATGTGATCTAAGGTGGATTTAGATTTGTCTCCTTAGACAAGCATCCACCCCAAGTCTATAATGTACCCTTGGATGACTCAAAACCATGGCTGCTGACAAGGATCCTTTTGCCAGGTTGGGTCGATAACCTACTTTGACTAAGTAAACCAGGGACCATGATGGCTCGAGACAACATAACCATGATATCTTGATCGGGTCCATCCATTCCTGCATCATCTGCTTCAAGTGCAAGGATGTCAAATTTATAATTTTAAATATCAAATTCTCAAATACCTAAATTCATGCTACTACTATATACTAGATAACACATAACTTTAGGTATCTGATTGACGACTAGCTTTAATTGAAAGTTCTCTCTCATTACCGAGAGGGGTAATTAACTATAAGGGCTTGTGCCTATAGGAAACCAAAACTCATATCATAAAGTCCTCACAAAATGAGGGTGAAATCTTTAAATAGTGTCTTATCTACAAATCCAACCTATCTTATGAAAAATTACCTCATAACTTAATGAGTTAAAGACTCCCAAAGAGCTAAAACCAAAACTTTAATATTACCTAAGATCCAAATATATAAAAATTGAAATTCAATCATCAAATGCTTAAATCAAAACAATCCACCCTCAGCAACAGTTTATCGATGTGGATAAATCTAAAAATAACTTAAGCACATAAAGAGCTAATGTCTGGTTGAGAATATTACTAGGATTCCTTCTCAAAATATCTCTTGCCAGTAAGAACATGGCACATGTCCTCTAATAAGAGATTTTGCCACCAAATGGCACCGCAAGTAAACATTTATGATCGAGGCCCTCTAAATTGGTTTATTCTCCGCCAAATGTCACCTCTAAATTATGGTTATGGCCAAAGCCCTTAAGCCCCCAATGGCATCAAATCCTTGAGATATGAATTAATAAAATATAATCGATAGGGCACAAAACCCTCTGTGAGCTAAGGTGGGTTTAGATTTGTCTCCTTAGACAAGCATCTACCCCAAGTCTATAATGTACCCTTGGATGACTCAAAACCATGGCTGCTGACAAGGATCCTTTTGCCATGTTGGGTCGACAACCTACTTTGTCTAAGTACACCAGGGACCATGATGGCTCGAGACAACGGAACCATGAGATCTTGTTTGGGTCCATCCATTCCTGCATCATCTGCTTGAAGTGCAAGGTTGTCAAATTTATAATTTTAAATATCAAATTCTCAAATACCTAAATCCATGCTACTACTATATGCTTGATAACACATATTTTTAGGTATATGATTGACGAATAGCTTTAATCGAATGTTCTCTCTCGTTATCGAGATGTGTAATTAACTATAGGGGCTTGCGCCTATAGAAAACCAAAACTCATATCATAGTCTTCACAAAATGAGGGCAAAATCTCTGAATTATATCTTATCTACAAACCCAACCTATCTTCTGAAAAAACGCAAGTTCGAACACACTTATTAATTGCTCGTTCTCTCCTCATATTAAGAAAGTAATTGAGTCAATCTCTCACCATTGCTTGACCTTTAATGTTCACTATCAAATATCATCTAATGTCTACCAACAATTAACATCCATCATCTATCAACAATTGACTTCTTACACCGATCTAACTAAGCTCCTGATCATCGACGAAGCAACGCCCACCACTTCCTGATGACAACCCCTTAGTACTATTATCACTGCAAGATGTCTTTCAAAATTCATGTGTAATATGTTATACTATTACATTTAGTTATTTGTTAGGGCCCTTTGTAATCTTCAAGTCATGCCAATGAAATTATTTTACTTTGACTAAACCTCATGATTTTTCCCCTTCTCCAATTTCATACGTAAAAACCCTTTGCCTAAGCGTAAAGCACCAGCTCTTCACTCTGAGCCCCTAAATCTCTAGTTTGAGCCATCTAAAGTGCTTTTAGAACCGGCGACGGGAGATGTTCGTTCGGACAGGAGATGTGGACGAGTTTGAGCCTAATTCCTAAGAAGATTCTTCCACAATGGACTCCTATAAGTGAGATTTCAAGTCAATGTTTACAGAATCTTCTTCTGTCCGAAGAAATGATTCATCGAAGGTAAATGTGTAGCTGGGCTGGAGGAAAAATTGAATGGAAAAGAATGTCGACTTCTTGGAATGGCCCCACCAGGCAGGAGAGAAAGAAGGAGAGAGAACGGAAGGCTACGGGCGGGAAAGGCCGTTCTTGAAGTTAGATTCCAGCCAATCCTTGAACGAGAATGTTGACGATGAAGCTAAGCTGGTCAATCAGTGCCAGAGCAAGGAAAGGTCAAGTGTAGGGTAGGGGGACGAGAAGCTCTTTTTATTTAGCAGGGGTAGAATTGGTCTTTAATTCAAAATGATCTCCAATTCTGTAGTTACAATCACTGAGATTTGGAAAGGAATAAAAAAAGAAATTATATAATCCTAAGATGTCAAATTATCTCCATAATTATAGACATTTCAATACACAACAATTTCAAACTCTACTTACATCTTTAAACATTTTCAAACTAAATAATTTTATTTGTTATATACATATAATGAGTGAAAACTAAGATCTTATGTGATACAACTTTCTCACTATTTCTTAAAATAATTTTTTAATATACAAATTTTAATTTTTATAAGAATAAACAATATTAAGAAACAGTAAAAAAAATCATCCTAAATAAAGCATAAATCATCTTTTTTAAAAGAGCCTTTTTATTAACAAACAACCAAATGAGCTCAAATGAGACCTAAGTAGTCAAAACTTTAAAAATGTAGCATTACATGCAAGCATCAATCTTTTAATAGGCACCATAATAATGAATTTGTTTTAGCTGGAAACTTCACACATTAAAAAAAAAATACAGGGCAAGTTGTCAACATAATAAAAAAATAAGTTCCAAAGTAGAATTCAGTGCTTTAATTGCTCTACTTAATTAAAAAAAAAAAAAAACTTCCCAGCAACTAATCAAACGTGGAATCCTATAGGAAAACATTTATCATACAATAGTAAATACTATTATTTACAGAGTTGAGATGAAAATTTACATTACAGCAGCAACAACACCAAATAAGTAGAGCCATAGATCCCGTATTCAGCCATTACAGAATCTTGTTTTACAAATCATAGAAATAGAGTAAAAGCAGTGAGAAGTGTGTCACTCACAGAGGCAAATGCTAATTTCACTGCAGCCTGTTTCATGATTTCTACAAATTTAGGCATCCATTGATGTTCTATGCAGAACCAGTTCAGGCAGAAGCAGACAGGAATTGTTGTTCTACTTCAGTTGCTTTTTGTGCTTTACACACATGTATCGCTGTGCAGATGTCTGTTTTCTCTAAAAACTTCTGTGTATTGGCCATAATGATTGGGCCGTACTCAAGAACCAGCTTCTTGCACTGCATATAGACAAAAACAATGAGAAGATTGGTTTTGTTTAATCAAAATCAGAGCTGCATATCATGATAAATAATACTCTAATACAAGCGCTCAGAGCATTAATTGTTTCTAAGTCATACAATTTCAACAAAAATGATTACGTGACATGTTACAAATAAGATGAACTCGATATACAAAGAGGTTGCGAGGCAACATTACATATTCATGATATACGATAAAGAAATAGTGCTGGCAAATGTTTTGACTGTGTGTGTGGTTGTAAAAAGAATTTCTACATTAGAAGATGATGCTACCATCCGCTATAGATTTGCTAAGATCCTTTCTGTTTGGCTGCTTTTTGGCAACATTTTATTGATCAATGCACATATTATATTTTATCAAAAAATTCTTCACTTTACCATAATTGACAAGCTAGTTTAAGAAAGCTGACCTGATGAGCGAAATTCTCCGCCTTGTTGCATGCTTTAATGAGAATCTGAATCACCTCAAGCTGCCAAAAATCAAAATTGCACTTAAAAATCAACAACTGTTTTCCAAAAGCAGACAATAACAACAACAACAACAACAACAACATCAAGCCTTTATCCCACTACGTGGGGTCGGCTACATGAATCCTTTTTCTCCATTGTGTCCTATTAAAAGTCAAATTCTCATTTAAATCTAATAAAGAAAGGTCATTCTACCCCTACCTTTCTTAACATAAGTCAAATCTAATACCTCTACTCTCCTAACCGGGTCATCACAACGCCGCCGTTTTATGTGACCAAACCAAAAGCAGAACAATGATAAAATTCAAATCATGTAAAGTGTTCATATTCTATTTAGGGGGAAGATACAAATGCCAAAGGCTTGCCAACCAGATAGGCAGACCCTTCAGGTTTCCTACTGAGTAGGACTACAAACGAACCAAGCCAAGCCAAGCCGAGCCGAGCAAGTGTTTGTTCATTTTTGAGTTCGTTTATTATCAATTTGTTTAACCTCGGTTTGAGCTCAATTCGAGCTTTTATATTCATGTTCAAGCTTGGTTCATTTAAATCAATAGATGTTCATGTTTGGTTCATATTCAATTCATTTTGTGCTTATCGAAGTTTGAACAAATGAGCCTTATCGAACTATAAACGAGCTCTACTTCAAGATGTTTGTTAGCATAATGAATAAACCTTAACGAGCATAATAACAAGCAATTTCATCGAGGGTGTTCTCGAACATATATAGCGAGCATTTTTTAAATATCAAATGAACCCATTCATGAACACATCTAGCGAGCATTTTCAAGCTACCAAACAAGCCTCCTCGTGAACATATCTAGCAAAGGTTATCGAACTATCAAATAAGTCTATTCACGAACATATCTAATGAGTGTTTTTGAGCTATCAAACAAACCAGTAAAATATAAATAAATAATAATATAAAATAAAAAAATTGTAATTAAATTATACATTATATCGATTTAATTAATATTTATAACTTATTTTAATTACAATCACAAATGAACCCGTTAATTGAATTATACATTATAACGATTTAATTAATATCAATGAAAATCATTTTATCTAAATTTATTATTAATTAATTGAGTTTATAGGTCAAATGAAATCTTCATTGAAATATATAAATTGATGCATATCTTCCAAATAAATTTGCTTAAACCCTTCCAGCAAAGTTATGAACTTTGTATAAGTTTTTAATTCATTTTTGAGAAATTCAGAATTATGAATTTCAAAGCTTTTAATGTGAATTTAAGTCGTTTTCTTATTCTTCACTACTTTCGTCATCTTCCATGTAAAGTTTTCCTTGTTCATGAAATTTGTTTGCAATTGTTGATTGAATTGGTTATTTCCATCAATTTTATGAAAAGACGCAATAGTAGATAAAATTTCGATTGTAGTGAACGGTTTTACAAGTACATCGTTTCATTTTTTTTTAAACAGTTTATTTATGATAACAGTGTTTGAGTGTATTTTTTTTTTTTTATAATTTATGTATTTAAATGCTCAATTGCATACTACTGCAATTGTTGATGGGCTTTTAAATTTGTTTGGCTTAAGTTGTGATTATGGGCCTTTAAAGTTTTTTTTATTTATTTATAATTTAAGCCCATAATTATGTTTCTATATGAACTAATTTGCTACATTGAATTTATACCAACATATCATAATTTTATAAGGATTATGATTATTTTGGTAGATAAGTATCAATTTTTCATGAAGTAAAACAATAGAAAAAGATTGACAAATAAATGAATTAATTTATTCATTACATATATTTATCAATTAAATATTTCACATTTCAAATAATTAGTCATTAATTCAAAATTAGATTAACTTGAAATAATTTGTCACCAAAGTGATCTCTATTAGATAAATTTATTTAATTTTAAAATTAGTTGAATAATGCTAAAAATTGTTAAAAGTCTATGAGAAAAATAATCGGCCCAAATGAAGATTAATTTTGTCTAGGCTATAGAAATGTAATAATAAATATGTATAAATCTAGGCTATAGAAATATGGTAATAAATATGTGATAATTTTGGAATCATTCATGCATACAATAAAACAAACCAAAGAAAGTTTTATTGTTGGTAGAATTTATTATCAATATTTATTAACTACAAATTTAAAAGTGTCATTTACAAATAATAATTTTGTCTAAAGACTAAATGTCAATGTTGTGTTAGGTATCTTATAAAAGGTTCATCTTCTATGATGCACAACACTTCTCTTCAAAGAGGCGTGCAGTATCTGACAAGTACCTGACACAACACGTGTCCGACACGTCGAAAACGTGTTCAATTAAAAAAAATATTAAATACAAGTTGGACACGCGTGTTCGACACGTGTAGCTTAAATATTTTATGAATTTTTTTAATATAATTTCTTATATTTAAAATTTTTACTTATTTAAAATATAAAAACTAAATTTTTATTTCCTATCCACAACACCAAATCAATCGCCCACACTTAATACCTCATTCATTGAATATTCTCTTTTTTATTTCTCTTTAGCGGGTTACAACTTTGATTTTACAACAATGATTGATGTCATCTTAACATCGACGTCTAAAATCTTTACAACATCAACATTTCAAAACGATCTCCATATCAAAATCTGACGTCGTTTTACATTGATGTAGTAATTTCTACACCAAGTTGACATCTCATCTTTGTCCAACGCCTTCTTAACACTGACGATAAACACCCTCTTAACATTGATGCCCGATATTTATTACATAACATCAATGCCCGACACTCGACAACATTATCATATCCTCTCTCGATGAGTGATAAACGACATCAACACCCGAGTCTCAACATCATAATATTAATAATTTTAAGCACAAATTCTAATTAATGATTTATTATTTATAAATTATTTTTAAAATTATATTTATTCAATTTTCATATAATATTTTTTAAAAATAAAAATTATAATGTCGTGTCCAACCCGTGTCTGTATTCGTATCCTATATTTTTAATAATTAACGTGTCCTGTGTCTGTATCATATTGTATCCGTGTTATTGTGTCTGCGTTTGTGCATCATAGCTCATCTTACACTGTTACTAATTGTGAGTTAATTTTTATTCGTTTCAATCAATGTTTCTCCAAAATATATCAATTTAAATAGCATTTCAATACTAAATGACTTTAAGAAATTGAAACAACACATTACTATTGTTCTTAGGTGTATTGATTTAGGCTATGCAATTTGGATTGAACGCCCTCTTACCCTTACTTCAGAAAATACTTTCAAACAAAGGGCAAATTTTGAAAAGTAAGAGCGTTTAAATCGGATGAGTCTTATGATCATGAAGCACTCTATTCCAGATACCATCTTGGGTGCAATATCTGAGGAGGAAAATACTAAAAAAAAAATTTAAGTCAAATATCAGACTGTTTCGTAGATTCAGAAAAAGTCGAAACTAGTATTATTCTTAATAAACTTATTTCACTGCGGTATAAAGGTAAAACAAATATAAGGAGTATATTATGAAAATATGTAATCTTTCTTTCTGTAAAATTCAGTCTTTTTAAGATAAATTATGATCATGAAACAATTTATTCCAGATACCATCATGGGTGCAATACCTGATGAGGAAAATACTAAAAAAAAATTAAGTCAAATATCAGACTGTTTCGTAGATTCAGAAAAAGTCGAAACTAGTATTATTCTTAATAAACTTATTTCACTGTGGTATAAAGGTAAAACAAATATAAGGAGTACATTATGAAAATATCTAATCTTATTACAAGATTGAGAGCATTAAAGTTAGAATTATTTGATGACATTCTTGTCCATCTAGTCTTAATCTTTCTTTCTGTACAATTCAGTCTTTTTAAGATAAATTATAATACTCAAAAATAAAAAATTGTCTTTTAACTAGCTCATTGCTCAGTATGTGCAATAAGAATAAAGACTGAAACAAAAAGATAGAAAATGCACACTTGCCTTCTTCTTTTAATGACATTGTCATCAAAAGGAAAAGTAATTATAAAGCTAAAGGAACTGCAGATAAAGGGAGTTCGTAGCCTAAAATTAAACAGAAAGAATATCTGATTATTACTTATTTCTTCTGCAAGAAGCTTGGTTAAGTGAAAAAATATATATATAAAATAAGCTAATTGGCTCATCAAAAAGGGTTTCTTAATATTGTTTGTTCTAAAGTTAATTTGTCCTTAGCACCAAAATCATTAAGATAGAATTTGATTTTTATTACTTGTTTGGACAAATTTGATTACTCTTATTCATTTGAAAATGAAAATTTTAGTCTCTTTCAGTATTCAAAAATTATTGATACAGGTTCCTTGATTGATAATTTATATAAATTTGATATATATCTGCCTAACAGATAAATGCAACTTTGCATATAAATAATTATGATACAAAGAAAAAATTTATTGATGATAAATATTTTATGTTCTAGCACAGTCGTTTAGGAAATATTTCTAAACAAAGAATTGAAAGACTTATGTCAAATGAAATTTTTAATTCCCTTGATTATACTAATTTTAAATTTTTCATTGAATATATTTAATGAAAACAAATAAATACTAAAAAAATAGGTGTCAAAAAGAGTTAAATATCTTAGAATTAATACATACTAATATTTATTGTTCATTTCCTATAGCTTCATGGAATGGTCGATAGTATTTTATTACTTTCATAGATGATTATTCTCGTTATGAGTACCTATACTTAATACATGAAAAATCAGAATCCTTGGATGTATTTAAGATCTTTAAAGTTGAAGTTAAAAATCTACTTGGTAAGAACATTAAAACTGTGAAATCTGACTGCAGTAGTGAATACTATAGTAGATATGACGGATAAGGTTAACAACGTTCAGACCCTTTTGCAAAATATTTAGTAAAATGTTGCATCGTTTCTTTAATACACTATGCCGAAGCTCCAAGTCAAAATGGTATAGCTGAGAAACAAAATAGAAACTTAAAAGATATAATTATAAGTATAATGAGTCAATTTTACTTAC